ATCATCATTAATAGGAAAAACATCAAACTGTCTCATTCACGATATTCTGGTGATAGAAAGACTGTTTTTTTTAACTTATATTTCACGTATTTGTTTGGATCCCGCTGCAGTTCGGACAAATGAACGCTGTCACGCGACAACATTTCCAAGATTCAACTCTCCTTAGCAGATGGTAATTTCGAGTTATTCTCTTTTTCTGCCAATCTTTCATTTTCCTTTCTCTTTAAATTCTATATACTTCTATTTAGGATGGTTTTGAGCGCCTAGCAAGGCTTAAAGTGGCGTTTACCACGCTATCCTTGGCCATATTGGCAACAGAGAAGTGTTTCGCCGAAGTGGCAACTTAACGGTAAATACGGTAACTTTGAACGGTTTTTACAACGTCAGTATACTTTGGCCGAAAAATGTTTTTCCGAAAACGTGATGTAAATCCCTCCAATGTCTGATTCATCACTGTGATTGCTTTCAGCAGCGTTGGACTTTTGAGAAATTATTATTTTAAAATCAGCTCCAACGCTCCATCTAATTTAATATGCAATATTTGAAAATTTATTTTTTATTCCCTTCGGCAGTTTTTCGGTGTTTATCGAATGATATTGCATTAAAAGGCCTTTTTCTTCATCACTGTGTGGTTTTCTCGTTGTTTTGCGTCGCGATAGTGATTTCTGAACCGTTTTTTGCGAGAGCTAATTTTAGGCCTGATTTTGCTGCTATCAGACGGAAAAAGTTTGCGGCTCGATATTTTTGGTTTAAAGCGAAACTGAAACAAAAGAAATCCATTTTTGAATAGTATTCGGTAACCTCTACTTGGGAGATAAAAATCGGCCGATTTTATTTTTTAGCCGGAAATCATCGGTCGTTTCTTAGGCGCAGGGCCTCTTAAGTGTGTGCAGTATTAAAGGAGCTGTGTCACGAAATTAAGCCAAATTAGGTAATTACAAAATGCCTGTTAAATTAAGAGAAACATAAAAATAACCGTTAAAACATTAAAGAAAGGTTAAATAACACAACAGAAACAACACATGCCACGAATGGGCGAAACTGAAGAAGATTGAAACCGGGATTGAAATTATGGTTTTTTGAAAACTGTGCAGCCTAACAGTTTTTCAAAGTTGATTCGTGCTGTTTGCAACTTCAAAAATTATGCTTAGGAGACATATTTGTTTGTCTCGGATCCCTGATTTTGCCATTTACATGTAATTTCTTTGCTTACTTTAAGTTCCATAGCGATTGAGGTCGAGTAATTGGCAAAATGAAACAAAAATAAACTGGACTGCCGTGACACAGCCCCTTTAAAGAGGGTAGGTTTTGAGCCCGTGTTGTTCTTAGGTGCAACTTTAATCTATTGATCGTGTTTTAAAGTAGGTTAGTAAAAGAAATATTCGTCTGAAGTTGGGAAGTAATTTTAAAAAACGCCCCTTTTTGTCTCTTCCTTGAGAAATCGGTATGATTAAAGCCATTGTAAGAGTAATGTTGACGCAACTCAAAGCTGCTTCTGGGTAGCTTGGAACATGTACAAGAGTGCCCACCGTTGTGTGGACTAAAATAGATAGGGTATCAAAGATTGCTTCCGATCAAAAATAGCCTGGGGATCCGAAAAAGCAAACCTTCAGTGTAAAATAAGGTAGGGTATTCTGGAAACATGCCGTACAGCCCCGCTACTAAGGTAACTGCATAAGTAAACAAATAATGTACATTTAATTTGAACTGGGTAAAGTCGGAAACGAGCCAAGGAATAGGGAAGGCGAAAACGTTTCCCAAGCGGTCGGGAGGGAGAGTGATGGGGGCTGCTAATGACTTGAAGGAGGGAGGCTGAGAAGAACCTCTACGTATTAAGTCCTTTTGTTTTATATAAGGTGAAGTGGGGGGAAGGGGGCTAAAGCCTCTTTTTTTTCAGCCCCCCAGGGCTCCGCCGTCCCTGACAAAACCCATTCACCTGGAGATTAACGAGGTTTTTGCGACATACAGCATACTCCCCCCTGAGTGGGATGTAAGTCCAAATAGTCCATCGCAGTGTTACCCCCTTGCTTCCCATTCCTGCAATATGTCGCCAGTACCTATTTATTCACCTGGGCGAAGAGAGGCAATGTAAGGAGCTAAGGCAACTACAATACCACTCGTGATACTTCAAAACTGTCTCATATTTTACCCGCCTGACGGCTCGTGAAATTGCGTACAACAATTTTGAAATATCACTTGTGGTATTTATGCCAAATATCACCACAAATCATGCTATTACCTTTACTAACAATTTATTACAGTGTATTTCTAAATAGTTGCTGCCCTAAGCACATTAAATTGAAAATAATTATAGTATTATTAATTAATTTTGATCACTGACTATGTTAATTAAAAATTTACAAAAGCACTAGCTTTAAAAAAAGGATATCGTAGAATTCTATCTACAAAAAATATACAAAAGATAATGTAAATCATGTCTTCGAAAAAAATGAAACAAATTAAACGAGAAGAAACACTTAAGATTAAATGCATATTTAAAAAGATAAGTTGCTTGAATAATGACTTATAATTTGATTGAGTCACGCCATAGAGGGGATTTACGTCAGTTGCTGCAAAACAAGTTTACACTGAGCCGGTAAAATGTGCAGCGTAAACATGTACAGATTTTTTTGCAAAAAGAAGAACTACTTTCTGCAACAACTCTTCGCAACTTGCAACAACCTTCTGATTTCTTGCAAGGTTTGATTCGTGGGAGGTAAAACGCGCAACATCCCGATGTAATGCCGCAAAACAAGTTTTTGTTGCCCACTATAGTGATGCGAGCCACCATTTGGACTTTCGTAATGACATTTTGTTTTCACGACGTATTTAAATATTACGGAGCCTGGAAATCTGGCCAATTCAGCAGAAATGATACATGCTATCATTTATGCTTTTGACGCCTCTTTTATTTAGTTGCAATAGAAGAAACTCGATTCTTGACAATGGTGCTTTTTCAAAGCCCATATTTTTTTACATACTTTTTTAAAGCCAGGAGCTCCTTATCGAGTCTCGACGACAGAGTCAATCTCCAAGATTTTTTTTTAAAATGAAAGAAAAAAGTGACATTTAACAAGTGAGTATGAAACGTACTATTTAGTAGAAACCCAAATTTGTGCGTCTTTGGTAGAGAGACTTGTCTTTTAACCTCCTGTCGTTAGTAAGTTCTAGTGCTATCGTTTTTAAGCACTATTCTTGGTTTGCAACCACGTGACAAGGTGGCCATGTTGAAGGTCACTATAAAACAATTTTTTCTTGAAGAATTTACTTGAAAATAGAGTGGCAAGAGGAGAGAAATGCGTTTTTTCTTCACCTCCAACATGGCCGCCGTGACATCACGTGCAGGGAATTGTCAGAGGAGCCGCCTCTTCAACGCTCCACATTTTGATGTCCTCAATAAGCATATTCTCTAGCAGTTGTTTAGCAGTTGTATATCTTTTAAAATACATTCATTTCCAATTTGCATATCTTCCACAATACACCTCGATTTGCCCCAAGAAATTTTGCATAAGCATTGTCTTCAATTTCCCTTGGTACAACAAATTCTCGAAGGAAATTCAAACAAAAGATATGCAAAATAGGGGAGGGAGCTGGGAGAGCAGGGTGCATAAAAAGTGTGTTATTAGAGAGGTACATGTGCCACTGAACTGATTGGAAGATATACGTACTGCCAGTATCGGACATTCAGTTAAGAGTGGTGATATGAGGTAAGGGAACGCTTATTTGGAGGAGGCACTTGATATCGCTGAACACTTGGTTTTACAAAATAACATCTGAGCCTAGTGCAGAAACGAGTGAATGAATCGCAAAGACCTCAAAGTCAGGTATACAGGGTGTTTGAAAAGTTCGTTCCGATTGTAAATTGTATTTCGCGCAAAGCATTTAATGCTTCTTTAGGCAAATGTAAACTGTTTCAGGTAAGAAATTTATCTAAATAACCGTTCAAAACAATTTCACACTAAAATTTTAAGAAATTATAATTTTTTTTAATTTTTGCCCCAACTGTACACCTACGCGAGTTTTTTCCCGCCATGCTTTTCCTGCCCATTTTGTAGGTTTTCTATTTTGGTATTTTTAGCGCTTTCTTTTATTTTCTCTACTCCTTCATGAAAATAAAGGCCTGCATTGTTTGTGCTGGAGCTCAGGTATCTTTGTTTATGGTCTTCTGGCCCTTCAGTCCAAAAAAAATTGCCAAATTGTTGAAGAATTCTGAACGATGACCGAACAAGTGGTCAAAAGTAAAGACCTTAGAAGATAAACCAAGGAGTGGATGGCCGTTTTTTCACAAACTGTGTGAGAAATATTATCGAAAAAGCTGTAAGTATATGCGTAATAATTCCACAACACAGAAAGGTAAAACATTTCAATCGACGGTATGGGGATAAGTTTCCGAAAAAGTTGGAAAGCCTTGAAGAGCAAAAGGCGGTGAACACTTCATGCAAGCATGGTGTCAGAAGGATTTGCCAACTTTATACCAAAGGAGGAAAGGCCGGCAAACTCACGTGATTTGAACCCCCTAGAGACCATCTGGATTAACGTACACGAGACAACATACAAAGATCCAGCCCCCAAAACACTGGACGAGCTAAGACAGTGACTACGCTTCGCCTGGAAGAATGTGACTTTGGAAACGCTTTGGGAGCTCGTACATTCTATACCTCACCGCTTAGAAAATGTCAGAAAACATACAAGAAGACATTCTGTTTACTAATATTTTAGTTATTCAATGTTAAATGAATAATGAATAACATACTAAGTTTTACAAAAGGTTTTTTGTTAATAATTAGTGAAATTTAAGGGAATAAAAAATCGGAACGAACTTTTGAAACACCCTGTAATTATTAGTTCTGGTGGAATTGGTAGAAGTTACCCAGTGTATTGGTGCTGTTCTTCTGTGAAGCAACAATTTTTCCGAGTTTGTTTTTAAATTCTCTTTGTTTGCTTTCAACCAATCTTGAATTGTTATAATTTTTTTGGCATCAGGATGCTCCTCACCGTATTCAAATCTCTTTTGCAATGGCAAGAGACTTCTCATAGTATTCTTTAGCCTGATTGTACTGACCAAGGTAACTGTAAACATTTCCCAGGTTGTTGTAACTTGTCGCTACGTAACCATGGTGTGCACCGTACATCTCTTTCATAATCGCAAGAGATTTCTCATGGTATTCTTTAGCCTGATTGTACTGACCAAGGTTACTGTAAACAAGTCCCAGGTTGTTGTAACTTATCGCTACGTCACCATGGTGTTCACCATAAATCTCTTTTTTAATGGCAAGAGACTTCTCATGGTATTCTTTAGCCTGATTGTACAGACCAAGGTTACCGTAAACAAGTCCCAAATTGTTGTAATTTTTCGCTACGTCACCATGGTGTTCACCATAAATCTCTTTCATAATCGCAAGAGATTTCTCATGGTATTCTTTAGCCTGATTGTACTGACCAAAGTTACTGTAAACAAGTCCCAGGTTGCTGTAACTTGCCGCTACGTCACCATGGTGTTCACCATAAATCTCTTTTCTAATGGCAAGAGACTTCTCATGGTATTCTTTAGCCTGATTGTATTGACCAAGGTGATTGTAAACAGTTCCCAGGTTGTTGTAATTTATCGCTACGTCACCATGGTGTTCATCATAGATCTCTTTTCTAATGGCAAGAGACTTCTCATGGTATTCTTTAGCCTGATTGTACTGACCAAGGTTACTGTAAACAAGTCCCAGGTTGTTGTAACTTGTCGCTACGTCACCATGGTGTTCACCATAAATCTCTTTGCTAATGGCAAGAGACTTCTCATGGTATTCTTTAGCCTGATTGTACTGACCAAGGTTACTGTAAACAAGTCCCAGGTTGTTGTAACTTGTCGCTACGTCACCATGGTGTTCATGATCACCACAAATCTCTTTGCTAATGGCAAGAGACTTCTCATGGTATTCTTTAGCCTGAATGTACTGACCGAGGTCACTGTAAACAGTTCCCAAATTGTTGTAATTTGTGGCTACGTCACCATGGTGTTCACCATAAATCTCTTTTCTTATGGCAAGAGACTTTTCATAGTATTCTTTAGCCTGGTTGTACTGACCAAGGGTTCTGTAAACATTTCCCAGGCTGTTGTAGCTTTTCGCAATGTCACCATGGTGTTCACCGTGTATCTGTTTTTTGATTGCAAGAGACTTCTCATGGTATTCTTTAGCCTGACAGAAGTGACCAAGCTGCAAGTGAACAATGCCGTATTCATGAAAATGCTTCGCCTTTTGCAATTTATCGTCTTGAGTGTCACTTAGATACGTTATGAAATCAGAGGATAAAGTTGAGAAAAGGTATGCATCCGATAAATTACTTTGGCGGTAACAAACTTCAGTAATAAGGGAAAGAAACGAAACTAAATTGCTAGGAGTAATTATCGGTAGTAATATATTAACTAGTGATTGTTCTTCATTAACCATTTTAGTTCTGTTCAACTGAAATAACACTTTACAATGACTGACAATTATCCTCAACTTTCCGCAAGCCTGCTCACTAGCAAGTAAAAGATTCCTGTTTTCTTCCATCAATGAATGAAAAATCCTAACAGCAACAGAAAAGCACTCCGCTTGATGTGTCCGATTCAGGACTGATGTTACAGTGGACTTAAGCACTTCATGAACAACTTTATGTACTCTGACGTAAGTGGGTGTGCCGTCTTTGTCATACAAGTAAGAAACCATGGTGGATTTTAGAATTCTAGCTCTAGTTAACTCTTCTGTTTGCTGTTTTGTACGAAATTTTACAAAGTCAACAGCAGCTTCAATTGGTAGAGAATCAGATGCGCACAACGAAAACAAACATAATACTTCACGAAGAACTTCGTCGCTTTGCAAAGCTCGAGTTATTGCCATTTTGATGGCAGTAGTCGTTGTTTTGGGATATGCTCTGTTTTGCTTCGCAAAAAAATCCTCTCTTGCTTCCCGTTCGTTGCTGTTTAAAGTTTCCAGGTATTTTGTCCAACCATAATTAGAGGTACCATAACTGACAATGGTTTGAACGTAGACTGCAGCAGCTGCTAAGGCAAGTGGCTGATACTCAAGAACCCCTGCAACCTCCTCAGCTTGTTGTTGATTCGAAATTTGAGACACTTCTCTTAAAAGGTTTACTGCGTCATCTGGATGCATTCCATTACTGAGGGATTCATGGTAAGTATGAGGAGAATTCAAGGGTATTGACTGGGTATCTTGAGTAGTTACTAGCATCTGACCATGACCCCACTCTTCGCTGGTGGTCGGAGGCAGATAACTTAGAACCAGAGATAGATCAACAACATTATCCAAAATAATCAGCCAGGTAGAAAACTGTTTTACCTTTGGAGAAATAAAACGCGTCAAATGCTGAATTATTTCACTTGAGTCAACCTTCGTGGAGGTTGCTAGGTTGGTCAGAGCGTATTCAGTAACTCCCAGTTGTTTAGCTAGAGTGAAATAGGAGTCGGCAAGTGAGTCAAGGGTTTCTGCATTCAGAGTTGAAACAAATGTTAGACCTTCGTCTTCACGCAATCTTTTGTCATAGAGTTCCTGTCCCACTTGACGAGCGATTTGACTTTTACCACAGCCCGGAATTCCTGATAAATAGATGGTGCTGATGGCCCCTTTGCTTTCATTATAAAGTTCCTCCAGCTTGTTCTTGATTCTTGTGACATCGTTGGAACGTCTGATGATTTGGTGCGATGGCCTGAATGTAAGACTACAGAAAGACTCAACTTTGGAATGGATCTCTTGAGTAAGGGTTTCTACTTCTTCCTGCTTGGTCTGCAATGTGTTTTGCGTCAATTGTAACTCTGAGTTTAGATTTTTAACTTCTTCATCTTTCACTTTTAAATCAGCTTTTAGTCTATCAGTCTGTATCTTCAAGCCATTTACTTCCGCTGTGGGAAAGCTGCTCTGGTTTTTAACATCCTCAACTTCAACAGTTGAGAGCTTCAGAGATGTAAATGCAGCTATCACTCTTGCTACATAACTTTGGAATTCAGCATCAGAAAGTTTAGCCTCGTTTTTGTGAGCGATATCGTTTCGAATCTGCCGCAGAATATCAACCTCTTTTCTGATTGTCGCACTCAGAGTGGTCCCAATACTATCCGAGAACAATATGGCAAAAAATAGACAACTGCAGTCCCACTCCGCCGTGTTTCCCTTTTGAATCATCGTTAAATATCGAGCATACTTTTTGCGACTTTTCCCTGTTTCGTTGTTGTAGAAATCGTGGCCATTTTGTGGAATGTCTTTCCATTCCCCCAAAAGAGTTGTCATGTAAAGGAAATTCCACTCTTGTTTGAAGACTCTCCGAAGTGCTTCGGGTACCAAGTTGAAGGCAGTGTAGGATATTTTAAAATAATTTAACTGTTCTGGTGTATACTCCATTTTGACCTGGGGTCTAGTAAAAACATAAGGGAAAGAAAAAATCAGACTAAAAATCCTACATCAAAGGCCCGTCCCTTTACTGATTGACTGATTATGCGCCCTCGTCACTGCATGAAACAAAGGGATGGAGCAAAATATAGGCAACAAAAATTTACGCAAAGTACGTTTTTTTAGCCTCCTTCTCCGTAAAATTATAGAGACGAGTTTGTTGACCTGTTAGCCTATGGGAAAGAATAGTGATAGCCTTTTTGAATTAAAACCTAAAGGAAGTAACACGCTTTAATATACGTTTACCTTGCCTAGAGCTTTTTAACTCTTAATCTCTCGATGTTAATGCTCATTGATCTAATTCAGTCGTAGCTCGAAATGTGAGAGGGGGAAGAGAGGAAAATGGAAAGAAGCTGTTAAGATAAGGCTTTCTCAGTGTGTATGGTTCATGAGGTGTCCGATCTCCTTCTGAGCTAGAAAATGTAGTCTCAAAAAATGTCTGCGTGAGAGGCTAGCGTAATGGAGGTTGACCACAAAGCTTTATCCTCTCTTGATGACCATTCTATAAAGGTGTTCTTAAATTTAGCATTTAATGTGAATATATAGTGTTAGGAGTTTCCTAAGAAGTGTCGAGCGAGGCGAGCATGTTAGGTGCGAGCGAGCGAGCGAGCGAGCGAGGCAAACGGCCGAGGGGAAGACAGGTTCCCATCTTAATAGAGAAAGAAGTCGTTACGTTACGTTACGTTGCTATGGTAGCAAAATTTCTGGAACTCAACAAATCAAGGACCTGCAAATATGGCAAAAATAAGAAACCGGAAAGATATTGACATTAACGCAGTCTTTCCTGTGATGATTGCACTCGGAAGTAAAACGGTAGCCCATACTTTAATTCCATCGTTCGAAAACGCAAATGGCCGTTTCTGTCAAGATCCAGAAATTTTGCTACCATGGTCGCTTGATGTCACACTTCTCTCTTTTGAGAAGAGCCGCTTAATAGAGGTTTCTCTACATTTTAATTTAGTTCACCTTTTGAATTACGGCCTATACAAATCCAAACTGCTAGCAGAGACTTTCATTCTCTGCTGCCCGCAGTGTGATACAAACATCATGTATCTTAACATTTGATATTTCATGATGTTTGTAGAAGAATATGAAACGGCAAACTGATCCTTACGGCAACAACAACAACAACAACAATCTTTATTGTGGTCTTGATACAAAAAGTGTTAAGACATTAAAGGGAAATAATCGTGAAACAAGACGTCTAAAGTCGTTTCCGTGGGATGCGTTGGTCTATGGAAGCATAATGGCGTTCTATCTGAATTTGGAAAAATTAGGGAAACCGGAAAGATGTGTTATGAGCATCGATGAGTAGGTTACCTATATGGGTTTTTTTAATGTGCTTATGACTGAATTTATAGTAACCTGCGTGACAGGCTACTATTTCTCCCTAATCCACATCCCCTTTTTGCTTCCTCCCTATCCCCTACCCCTTTCGACACCTGCTACGCAAGCTAAATTTATAGTTGTCACTGGTCGCAAGGATGGAGTTGATATTGTTTTGATCTATCGCTATGTAGTTATTTTCATAGCACGATTTGGATAACAAAAAGAACTTATTTTGCATCAAAACAAGGTTTACCTGTGTAACTTAAATTGGAATGTTAACGGAAACAAGTAATGGAGAACATGCGCATAATGCTCTCTGATTAACCTGAACAGGAACTATATGTATAAAGATACGTCATTTCTTGGTAGTATAAGTAGCCACAGGAACACCGCGGCAAAACGTCTACGCATGCGCCAGGTTGAGCATTTCCGGTCTCTTTTTCAGTCACACTTTCAAGTCAGATCAAAGTCTCCAGCGCGCGCTCGGCTTCGTTCTGTGTGCAGCTTGTGGTTCAGTTGTTCTGCTTCATGCTGCCCGTGTTTTTGACTATTTTGTATTTATTGAAATTGCTTTTATGGATAACCAGGCACAGATCACTGAAACAATTAGTCGATTAGATTCAGAAAAGGTAGGATGATAATAACTGTAATTTTGGCTAGAGCGTCAGGTAAACTGATTTTCATTCTCGAAAACAAAGTTTTTGACTGTTATTTTTCACTTAACCCGGCTGAAACTAAGACATAAAAAGTTATCATCGCAAGCTTGTGTATGGCAGTTCTATTTTTCAGTTCTTCAATTTCTCAGTCTTCATGTCTTAAAGCCGATTCGAGCTTTATTTGGAAAACGACAACGCACAATCGATTTGTAGTTTTATTTACCAGTGAGTTTTACCGTGTTTGGAAACGAAACTCTTCTGAGTTGATTGCCGTGAAACATAAACTTAATTATACTGTTGAGGATGGCAGCAAGTTGACCACTCTATTTATTTTTTTCAATCTCAGAATCAGAGAGCGAAAGCTGGTATGATGGCCGGGCTTTTAGAAGTCGAACTTTTCATGCCATGTATTTAGCAGCTGGAAGTTTCGTGTTTGCATGAGATGCAGCCGAGCCGCACAGTCTGAAATTATTGAAGTCATCAACCAAAGAACAACCATGTAAAAGAATTAAATAGGCATTTTCTTGAATGAAAGTCATTTATAGGCATGTTTAGTTTCCCGGCACTGAAAGCTCCGGGTGTTCGTGACTGCAGTCATCAAAGTCGAGGTTGTTATTAAATTCCGCACATCTTTTGTTTTGAGTTCTTGTTTTGCCTGATAATAAAAAAATTGTTGAACGGACTAAAATTTTATTTCTGGTTCTAGTGTTAATGATAATGATGACGGCTTTTTTTGGTTTCTTTCATAAGTATTGTTATTCTTTTCTTAGTTATCGCCTTCTCCCAAATTAACTTATGCCAAACCAGTAGGATGCAAGAAAGCCAGTAAATGGCAACTTCGTCATGTCGAGCGCTCGCGACCTGCACACTTCAAACATGATTTTCACCGTTGGTGCAAACAGATAACCATGTGGTGCAAAAGTTTGAGAATAGAAAAATATATAAGCTTTCGAATGAAGTGGTTTTTTTGGCCCCCTTTTTTGTCTGTCTCGCCCTTTTTGCTTTTAAACTTGGCGCGACGGCAAAGTTATGCTTACGCTATTGGTTTATATACTAGACCGGAAATAAAAAGCTGACCGGATATTAAATTTTGTGCTCATGCGCATTGCGTTTTGCCGCGGTGTTAGCCACAGGTAACTTTTCAAAGAGAAATGAACATTGTAGTTTTAGGTTAATGGAACAAAACAAAACAAAACATCCGCTTGCTTTATCCAGGGTCGAACCCAGGGTTACAAAGTTCGATAAAGTTCCAATGTTTTAATCCAAGATGAAAGTTTTATTTTCCAAGATGCTCTTGATACGGTTAAAAATTAATTGCAGTGTGTTTCCAAGGTCTCAAAGTTAACATAGTTCCAATGATTTTCCCTGATTCCAAGGTATAATAAGTTTACTAAGGTCCTGATCCGTGTCCCATCCAGAAGTCCAATCCATGCCGAAAGCGAGTCGTCGATCGACGAGGACAATATTTTCGCGATTTCACCGCCAATCGTCAAGGGTACGAGTTGAAATTTACGCGATTTAACCTCCCATCGTCAAGGTGTTTTCGATAAGAAAACAAAATAACTGAACTCTAGCTGTACTCGGCAAAAACTGGCGAACTCCGAATAGAAAAATCTAGCGGAAATCACGACCCACAACCAGACGCTACTAAAACCTTATGAAAAAGCTAGACCTAAACAAAAAAGAATCATGAAGGAAAGAAATAATTTGGCTCAGGTCGCCTTTCGTGACTTGCCAGTATCCCGAAGGATTTCGCTGGTTAACAAGCCATCAACGTTCTTCAGAGGAAGCAAATCGGTTAAAAATCGATCCAGAGTTTGTACAATCTGATTGGTCGGCTTGGAAGAAGAGATAATCGATAAAGATTTTAGGCAATCCTATTGGCTGGCTTTGCAATTTTGGATACAACCGAACCGGATTTTTACCGTGGGAGTGCCACAGGCATCCCACGGAAAAAAAGAGAGCACAGCCGCTCAGAAATAGCAAGAGCTAATCGCGCTGAGTGGCTGGGCCATGCGGAAAAGTAACTAGATATCAAAGTTGTTATAAATAAACAAAAGCACACAAAGACACACAAAGAAGAAATATTTAAGCTGTAATAAATAAGCAAATACACAAACAAATAAACAAAGAAGCCAGACAAAACAACAGCTGTGCACACAATTAGCTGCATACAAAGTACACCAATCAATATTTGGAGATGACAGATTCTTTTAAAAGCTTTTTAAAGCGAAAACGACTCGCTGATTTTAGATCTTCTTTAATAGCATTCCAGAGTTTAGCACCACTGAAACGGATATTAAATTTTCCATAATTCGCCCTAACTTTCGGTAAATAATAAGACATCTTAGAGGCCAGAGTCTATATTGTCTAAATATATTAAATCCCCTAATTTAAGTAGCCCCAACTTGCGAAAGAGAGGACTAAAATGAGAATTAAAAGCAGAAAAGGTTATTATTCTAACTGCTTTTTTCTGTAAAGTAATAAGAGGATGTAGAGAAGTTGGATATGTATTTCCCCAGGTAATTAAACTATAAGCCAAGAAAGGATAAATAAGTGTGTAGTATAACTGAACAAGGACTTGTTGGCTAATAAAGTACCTAATTTTAGAAAGTTAATTCCAATACAGCGCTTAATTTTTTTTGAAATATGCAAAATGTGGAACTTTCAACTTAAGTGTGAGTCAATATGTAATCCTAGATATTTAATAAATTTTTCTTGTTTAATCTCCCTATTGGAAATTAATAATTTGACTACGTGACTTGTTGACTTTTGAAGGAGGTGAAAAATAATGAAATTTGTCTTGTCAACATTTAATGAGAGCTTGTCTGCCATAAGCCAATTAGAGACAAATTTTAGATTATTACTAACATCATCCTCTAGTTCAGTTAGACTACGATTGGAATAAAATAAATTAGTATCACCTGCAAAAATGTGAAAGTCAAATAATTTGCTGCAACAACTGAAGTCATTAATATACAAGAGAAATAGAAGAGGACCTAGCACCGATCCCTGCGGGACTCCATGAGTAATAACAATGTCATCAGACTTAGTGCTACCAATAGAAACATGTTGCCTCCTATTGTGCAAATAGGAAGTAAACCAGTCATTTTACTTAGTTTTCTAATTAATATGCTATGGTCAATGGTATCAAAGGCTTTTGAGAAATCAAGGAAGACCCCACAGGAGAATAGGCCATCTTCTATAGCTCTCTGGATCTTAGCTGTAATAAGAAGAGTTGCATGCATTGTAGAGTGTTTTTCTCTAAAGCCAAACTGGTTGACATATAAAATGTTGTACTTATCAATCAAATTAACTAGTCTCTTAAACGCACAGTCTTTGTTGAAAATAGAAAGCAAAGAGATGGGTCCATAGTTGTTGGGTGTCTAGAAAACGACGACCTAAAAAAAACACGCGGGGAAGGTGGGGGGAGGGGGGGTGCTTAATAGAAGTGTGCGAAATGCCCCATTCCCGGACAAAACCAAATAGCATATTCATAGCAAATCTCAGTGTAATCTTATCAAACGTGCCAAACACCCACGCAAATCGCTCCTAGCCGCTAGTTACCCGGGGCTAGTTATAAGTAATGCTAAGGTCAATAGGTCTAATTTGCACGTGCAGCACACTTTTTTGCACATCGTAGTACGTGCGGACGATTCTCTCAGAACCAAAATTTCTTGGATGCATTTTGGGCGCTTTCCATTCACCCAAAACTTAAGAAACTGTGGAAACAGCGGCAATTGGCACAGTATTTTCCCGGAAAAGTTCTCAGACTTCCGGAAACTTTTCCGAAATGCGAACCATTCAACCAGAAATTTTAGACATTCTGGAGCAAAGTTGAATGCGGAAAGAAAACTTCCTGATGATAATTTTCGAAAATTTGGGTATATATTGCGAAAATGCTGTTCCATTCGGTTCTGCACGGAAGTTGCCGAGAATTTAAACCAGACTTTTTGATTGAATGGAATGGAGCCCATGCAAAGGTAACCAAATTTGTTACCAATTGTGCTCCCTTTGCGCGCGCGCGAGAGAGCTTCACTAAAAAAGTTTCTCAAGTCAAATTTTCCTTTAGTATGGTCAATGAAGTCATGATTCAACCTGACTGACTACTGGAAGCAAAAGCTTTGCTTTGACCTATTTATTATCCTGATATCAATTTAAACAAATTTCCATCAAATCTAAATGACCTAAATAATATACACTGCCTCACTGGCGCGTCGTTTATAGCAGGGCGTAATAAGCTAGGGCGTTGAAACGCACATACGCGCTCTCTGGTTCAGCTGTGATGCGGAGTAGAACTGGAACTAGTTTGCTTTCCGCTCTCGATGTGCTGTCAGGGCAAGAAAAATGGCGCCGTCTCGCTGACGGTAGGTTCGGATTCATTGCTTTATATCTTTAAATCGCGGCAATCTATAATTAGATTTGATATTTGGCGTATTTCTATGCGATATACAGAAGATATTTAGGTGATATTTTATAGTTAGTCTTATAAGTTAAGGTGTTTTTTCGCCCTTTCTGTTTATGTAGTGTCAAAATGGCCTATCGAATAATACAGGTTGACGGTCGCGTTTTATCTTGCCAGTCAAAACCAAATGATAATAAACGGCTACAAAAAAAATATGTAATGGTTTTATAAATTTTGTTTGTGTATGCAAATTTTTAGAGTGAACTTTTATGAACCTTTAAGGTTTTTTTACTTCTGAAGTGACGACTTCATATAATGGCGATAGCAAGGTTTTTGTTTTGTACGTTGGCGTTAGCACGTTTAGCTTGTTAGTAAAATAAAAGATTTCAGTTGCCCAATTTAGCGATTTTTCTTTTTTTAATATACACTAGGGTGGTAAATATTTTTTTTTAGTTACAGAACCGCGATCCAAGAAGGTTCTGACTATTTTTAAAGTTCTACTAGAAAATTGCATTCGAATGATCTCGTGTGACAGTCTTTACATAAACAACAACAAATTCTGCTTCACTGCGGTATAAATCTGAAGGTTGTATTGCACAGAAACAGAATGAAGCCTATGGAGAAATTTGCTTTCAAATCCCCACAAAGATTCCACTGTAAAATTAAATCATAGAATGTGTTTATTTATTATTATAATGATTTTTTGCAGAACAACAGTGAGTGCCCAGCTTGAAAAGACTACTAGAACACGCACTGAAAGATGAACGAGTTCATAATACCGTGAATATGAAGAAGAACACGAAGAGGTCTTAATTTGATTGCAAGTAGAATAAATTAAGACTGCTATATAACATTGTTTTTTTGTCGTCATAGGTTTAGGTGTGGTGTTGCACAAACTACAGTCAGCTCTCAGATGGAAACTGTTGGGACTGGCACAAAATGACTGTATTAATGGACAGATGTAACACTTAGGGAGCTTTCCATTTGTCAGAACTGACCCGCCAGCCCATTCCCATTATAAATATGGGAATTTCATTGTTAATCAAAACTAACTATCCAGATCTGTCACATCCTAAATATCATGTACAAAGGGGATGGTTTTTCAACAAAACCTCTTGGAAAAAGCCTATTTCATTGCCAAAATGTCTGGTCTGACCATGGTCAGGCTGGCCAGTTCTGACTTTTGGAAAGCGCCCTTATAGAGAGTAAAAGAAAATGACTGAAGAATAGTAGGGACCAACTCGATTTCCTGGAGGTGCCTTATCTTTTGATTGTACTACTGTATAATATTTCTAGCATTATATCCTCTCTCGTAATTCTTATATATTATAGACAAGGAAACAGGAAAGAATTTTTTGAATCAAGTCTTGATTAAGCCTGGCTGCAGTTAATAAATGTAATAAATTTAACCAAGAATGAAATTGAATCATACTGGACATGAAGTATACAAGTGTGCTAGGGTTGCTGGTCAAACTAAAAAGTTTGTTTTTCAATGGTTTAATAGCTGTTACAGGCCATTTGTATTTCATTTGTGCATAATTCTGTATAATTTTCTTGTTTGCAATATACTTTTGAATTTGTATGTTATATAATTGTTTCATGTTGTATCTGTATGATATATATAGCAATGTCTGGTTTCGATGTAAGACTTGTGAATGTTTAGTTTCTTTTAAGTTCCTTAGTATGTCTTGTATGGGTAGTTTTCAGTGATCATTTCATTACAAAAAGCTGTTATTATCAAACAAAAATATTTGCTGGGCTACTTATTTGTGTTCTTGCGACCTCTGTTAGTTTTTCAAGGGCAGTGAATTATATTTATATACTTATTCTTCATTGCAAAGTAGTATTAGTGTACAAGATAAAAAATAATGATGATTTTATTATGTTTTAAATTTACCCGGACTTAAGTTTTCACAATCTGTCCAACTGTAATGCTCAATATTGGAGATAGCTCAATAAGGTGTTTAGACAAGAATACTGATGTACACCAACAAATCCAAACTTTAATAGTGAAAACAGATCATCTGGCCTTGAACCTGGGCAGCAAAAAATAAATGCCATAGCAGATGATGAATTACACAACTTGATATTAAACTGAAGTAGAGAACCGATAATATTAGTCTAAAAATGATGTCAGTGCTATCATCTGAGTTGTGATGCCATTTTCTTACTAAGTCATGAAATTTTAATACCGGTCACGGAGGTGGAACTATATTCAATACAGATATTTGTTCGCGGGGGAAAAATTGAACAAAACAGAAAACGAACGTGAGAGAAAAATAATTTGTTCCCTCTCTATTGCTCGCAGTAAATGATAATGCCACGGGATAATGGCCAACGTTCGCTAGATAATCTCTCTGACGGTCTAGTATAATGTCCGCCATCTTGTTTTGTCTCTTTGGTAGTGCCCAGACCCTTGCATCACAGCTAGATCGCTCGACCCCGCTCGTTTCAACGCCCTAGCTTATTACGCCCTGGTTTATAGCGGGAAGTTCAAGCCAACATAAATCAAACAGGAAATAAATCAGGCGTGCCGTTTTTGTTCACATCTCAATACCGTAAACAAACAGTTTATATTTTGAAAATAAAGAAAGAAGGGCTTCAACATTTTCTCGTACCTTTCCATACATGAAACGGCAGCATACCGGTAACGAGAATTGTGAAATATTGTGTAGTACACAATGAAGGTTGACATGTCATAAGATTTGAACTGTATTTGAACTGTAAGATTGGAATCGTATCATCCTAGGAGTTTCTGTTTCCTCACAGGTCCAATAGCGTGGTATATATGCAGTGAGATCTCCGGTATAGAACTTTTGAGTGTTCACAAATAAATTATTACATCATGTGAAATAGAGACAACGCCGCAGAGCAAAATTAAAAATTTCACTTCGGTTCATCTTTAATTCTTCCATCACTTTCACGCAATGCACAATGCAATGTCCAAGACAAAACAATAGCTCCCGCGACCGCACTAGGCACTCTGTAACTGCTGTTTAAAAATGTGAGAGACGGTTTTATAACCGCGTTATGAAAATCACGCAAGAACAATAGATGTAGGTATCTCGCGGGGTACATGTAACGAAGGTTTACGTTAATCAATAAATCAATGGAGCATCTCCTCCTAAACGTGAAAATTTCCCAAATTTTGACTTTTAGAAATACTTCGTTCCCCAAACCTCTTTTTATTAACTCACTCCGGGATCGCTCATGAAACTAACCCGATACACTTTTAAACAGTTAACACCGAGAGAGGTTATCCTCTCTTGGTAAACACGTTATTGGCCACCACCCTAGCCAGTTCTAGAGGGGGAGGGTGTTTCCTTAGGAACTGGTTAGCTCAAATGACCACCAAGCTTTAATAATTATTCGATCTAAAAGAAATACATTTATAATTCGCAATCAGAACAAACAAAAATCGTCTTAATCTCGTAAATTCAGAAAACTTCAATGTAAACTTACTTCTGTGGCGGGTCGTTTCAACAATTGCACTTTACAGGTTAGCAAATTCTTTTAAACAGATTCTTCAGGTAATCGGATTTATAGACAGACTGTAAATTATTTTCTTTCTCACTTCGATTCTACTGAAAAACTGGTTTGAAACACAATAAGCTAATACAATTCTTGTCATCAAATAAATCTATCCAATAACAGGCAACGCTTGTTTGATAAACGAAACAGAGGGGAGACCTCGCGTACCGTACATTTCCATTTCCACCGTTTTATTCCTTGGCTTCATACCCTTAGCCGTCTTTTTACAAATAATATTTACTATTTTTCTGTAATTTTCCTTCTTCGCCCACCTCTCACCCCTTCATATTTCCCTCCTATCGTCCTCTTATTTCCCGCCTTCTGTACCCCTCTAACCTCTTAATCCTTCGAGCTACCCCATCCCTGTCGTCGTTTTCTAGGTCGTCGTTTTCTATGTCGTCGTTTTCTAGGTCATCGTTTTCTAGGTTGTCGTTTTCTAGGTCTTTGATCATGGACTAACTGATCAATTCATTGATGCCGAGCTAAAGCGTTCTTTTCGTGTTCCGTGAAAGCCTTTTTTTCCCGCGATTTATGCATGACTTTCGTGAATGGCCATATCATTTTAAGTAAAAAGTGAAATGACCATTTCGCCTAAACAGTAGACTTCCACACGTCGACCTTTCGAGTTTAAGCGAGCGGAGCGAGCTTCTTAGGCCGTGAGACGGCCGAGCAAAAGACGAAGTCGAGAGGGGACCCGCGCCATATTAAAACGGACGGAATACTTTTTTGAAAGTCCACCTGGGGGGATTTGTCGCACTCGATTGTTTCATTTGACGGGTGCTTTTGTTCTTTTTGGCTAGGCTTCAAAGCGGCGAGAAGAATAGGGACTAAAATGCTTTGCTACTAGTGACGCTCCAAAAGTATTGACCCATTCTGAATCCGCCATCTACGCAGACTAGCCATCGTTTTCTAGGTCGTCGTTTTCTAGGTCGTAGGTCTTCGTTTTCTAGGTCGTCGTTTTGTAGACACCCATAGTTGTTCATGCAAGTCACAGAGGAATACTATTAGCTAGCTTAAAATGGTCTGGCACACAGCCACTACTAAGGGAAAGGTTATAAATTAATTGTAAAGGAAATGATATGCAGGTTTTAATGAGCTTCAGCAAACATACAGGGATGCTATAAGGATCGGAAGCTTTAGCTGATTGTAGGCTAGTAATCACATCCTCTACTTCAGTTGTTGTAACTGGGAGTAGCACAAAGCTATTAACTAAGGACGGTCCAAGAAAGATTTGTGGATCAGTATCAACAGGAGGTATTTCATTTGCTAGCTTACTGCCAATATTAGAAAAATATTTGCTAAATGCCGAGACTATAGACTGGCAGTCTTTTAGAATTGGCAAGGCGATGAAGAAGTAATCAAAAGAATAAAACAAAAAATATGTATTTCAACATGACATTTATATTCATATTAAATGTTTGCAAAACTTTTGAGCCTCACAGTCATATAAACATAAGCTAACATATACTGGCGTTATCTGTTAATATGGTAAGGTGTAATTTACCCATTGGCAAATGTTGCTTTCTTTTGATATAAGAATGCATGCATGATGATGCAGGCTACAGGCAGGTGTGAATTTCTCCTGTTTAAAGACTTTTTGCACTTAAAAATTAATGTATATATTTATATCTATATATCTCTGAGAGGTTCAAAACTTTTGCAAACAGCTGTCAAACCGTTAAATGTATATATATATATATATATATATATATATATATATATATATATATATATATATATATATAATATATAGATTTAGCCAGGGCTAAAAGCGAAGCTCCAATTTTAATAAATTTATAATTTAAATCAAACAATAAACTTTTAATCCACAAATCATTTAACTTAAGGGCACATTCATGTGACTTTTGAGGGAAAGGCTAAGTTATTTTAGAGTGAAACATCTTACATCGAATTGATAACCTTATATGTACACCCAAAAAATAGCAAACATCTTCGATCACATTCAAGATCACAGTAGATTAGGCCTCGAAAACAAATTCTTGGAAAACAAATCACGCCAAATTTTTTTGCGTTCGACAGGTTTACTTTACAAATTCTTGCCAACAAATCTGGGGGTGTTTAAACCTTCAGGGCGGAAAAACGTAATGAGCATGCGTGGACTTTTTAGTCCAGATCCCCTGGCCGGGTTTGAAAATTTGGCGGGATTTCAAATATTTTCTTGCCTAAAAATAAAATGTTTCCACCCATAACCTGGAAAGAACAGGCAATTTGTCTTCAAAAGTTGCAAGCTGTGGTTATAACATTGTGGTTACTTAATTTTCTCAAAGAATACCTCATAGTAAAACGGACTTTAACGACATTAATTTCCTTGCGTTGTACTGGAAATGTGCATGCGTAAGTCCCATTTTTTTCAAGATGCATTCACAAAATGTGTTCATATAAGGAAGTTTCTGGATATATAAGGTCCGGAGCTCTACTGTGGACACAAAAACAATATATCTTTGGACAGTGATTTGCCCAAAAAAATTAACGCTTGCCCACAATGTGTTTGAAGTCACTGAACTTTGTCGCACTCGAGCAAATATTTTAAAACCCTCGCTCGATCGGACACTCGTAGTTTCGCAGATCACTAAAATATAAACAAAATCCTCAATGTAGAAGTTATTGCGTTGATATGTGAGCAGAAAGAAGGTCAATCTTTATCTGGTAAAATATTCCCAAAAATCGGTTTCAAAGCAACTATAGTTTTTTAAACTTGCTCGTTTCGTGCAGATATATAAATTTTGCTTTGTGTTGTCAAGCTGAACACGCATAACATCTGTCAAAAACCTACAAGTAAGAAGGATTTCCTTCAAACAAAATTAAAGTTACATTATTTCAAAAACTTGTTGCTGACAATGAAGAAATGAATTTTCTGTACGAAAACAACCCACCTAAAGATGGTAAAAGCAAAAGATCAGTTGCAACTTGGCAGCCAAGCCATGATTCACCATTTAGCTATTATCAATGCAAGGGTCTTCGTTTAAGCAAATTAAACTCAGCCGATCATTAGAAAATACAGAAGATTGCACATAAGGGTTTGTTTTGCTCGCCTCAGTCAAATCAAGCTGCAGCAATTGTTTACGGGAAAAGAGTCAATTGTTTTGAAGTTACTGCTGGCAGTTGTCGTTCTCTACTTCACAGCGAGTGAAAAGGACAATTTGCGTACAGAAACTGAAAGTTATTCTTATAAAGAACAGAAACTTTCACAGTGCACTGGAAAACAAAACTATGTAATGAAAAATGAAAAAACTCCAACTATTATTACTTGAGCAACAGAAAAATGATCTTGAGTAAGCTTGCTGGCCTTCTATTTTCGAGAAAGTTTAATAAGCGCACAAGTTTGTTCACTCTGATGCGTGATAACAGCAATATAGTTCTTTGACTGAAGACAAAGATAAAGCTGGTTCTGTAAAGGTAATAAATCTGGGCATGTAAAAAAGTAACCGTAACTACTAATAACAGAATACAAGCGGGTTTTAATTCAACCCGGCGAAATCAACTCATAAATTAATCGGATGCACAATCAGAAAAATACTCGCCTCTTAAGAAATGTTCAAAACCTTTTATTCCACCTCAGACTGACGGAATGATCCGTTTTTCCTTTAACATTGGTTGTTCCGAATCCAAAGTAATTTTCAAGCGACGTAAAAAAAGCAAACATGTCAAATAAAAATGCTTTACAGGGAACAAACGTTCACACCTCGTGCATTTCACTCAGAACTCCAGCAACAAACAAACACAGTCAACACGACAGTAGCACGACAGTCAACACACAAAAAAGCCCGCCTTGAGCCTGCGATAAGGGATGCGCAGAAGCTTGCGCAGAACGTTTTTCCGCCCTGAAGTTTAAACCAACCTTTTATAATTTTTATACACCACATTTGAGGTTAAACAGTACTATTTATCATACAGAGCTCGGACAGAATGCGGTATTTCACAATTTTTCAAGACAAATTGCACTCAGTCAATATTCAGGACGAGCCAAACCGTTCAAAAATTTCAGAAAATTTCCAAAATCACCCATACGGCCAGCTGGTTCTCGTTTCTATAGTGCGAGCTGTCAGTGTGGTCGAGTGTTTGAATGAACTTTAACAGAGTTACGCTTCAACATAATAGCGAATTTATTATTATTTGTTTTGTTATTTAATGGTTTCAGTTATAACGTTGTGTAATCTTATAAAGCGTTTGATACGCGCGACATTTTTGAGTACTCCTGCAAGCGATGGTCATATGAAAACAAACGGCACGGACAAGCGATTAAAATTGCAAGAGAGACTACTAACAATGAAAAAAAGAGATATAATTCCGTGAAACATTTACAGAGACAACAATTTTCATTCACGAAGACAAGTATTCAAGTGTCTCTAAAAATCCTGAGTCTTTAAGCGTAAAGTTTAAGTTTATGTTTTAGCCGGCTTCCCAGCGCGGTGTTTACTGTTTTCGAAGGTGAACTCCTCGAAGCAAGAAAATCGCTCAAAGTTTTCTTTCTACAGCCAAATTTATAACTAAATATCCTTCGGAACGTTTTCTTTCTATTTGTGGTGAGCAAATATATCTGAAGGCTTTTTAAAGTTCTGTAAGCTTATATCAAACCTGATACTAGGTCAGATCATTGACTCAAATCCTGCAAACGTGCATAAACTTGCCGCATAAACTGTCAGCGTGAACTGTGCAAGACTTCATGAAACACAAACATCAAATACAATAAATACTTAGGCTTACCATTCGAGATTCAGTTCCTGAAAGCTATCAAGGGAGGCCACAGTTGCTTGAGACTTTTAAACCCTCTTACGCATTAAGCAAGGTTAAAAACAAAAACGATGCCATCCGAAATCGAATTACCGAATTTTGACAAGCGACGCATTTCTCAACCAAAACCCAGTAAACAAACCAGCCATGAATAACAGAAGACTCTTGATAGCAGCTGTATTTCATTTTGTACCTCCAGAGGAAAAAGACAGTTAAAAACATCACAAGTTGACACAAAACTCTGTCAGCTTCAGCTGTCAAAGTAAACTACTTTCAAGATGCTGCATAATTTTTCCGCATAAACTCACCTGTCAAATTTTGACCAATCAGAGTATAAAAATTGGACGTAGAGCGTGACCAACGCGTGACCATGGTAAGATAAGGTCTTCCCCGCCTGTACTTTTAAAAAAACTGGATGAATTTTCGCTTCCGAGGTCAGTTTGAAATCAAAATCGTAATAGTGCGGGGCCATAGTGACATAAACACAACATATTTGATATGAATCCTTGGAAAAAATAAACTTGAGCCTGCCATCATTTGAAACTGGTAATTTGTCAGCGGCTAACTTTAAAAAAATACTCGACCTCGATGGGCCGACACTTGAGCCCGCGGTACGGTCAGGTGATACTTGTCAGCGGATGCCCTGTTTTGATAGCTGTCAATTGATCACAACATTGATATGCAGCCTGTGCAATTAGTTTTCTCTAGGGCTCCCAAACTAGCTAAAAGTGTGAGAGTAAACATTGGTTTTCCTGTGGTGCGGACGGACGGCGGTCGGTCGGTGTACGGTCACGTGATTACCAAATTTTCTGGGATGGGTAGATTTACTTAGCAATGGGGCTCCGCCCACGCACGCGCGAAGCGCGCGCGTGGAGCTCCGCTATTAAAAAATTAAGAATTTGTTCATGCTTAGCGTGCGTATATCGAGTTATGGATGCACGCGGGAAGTTTGGAGAGCGCGAAAGATGCTTAAGAGTTGCACGAGGCGATAGCCGAGTGCAACTATAGCTTCTTGAGTGCTCTCCAAACTTCCCAAGTGCATCCATAACTCGATATACGCACAGCTAAAAGCATGAGCAAATTCTTTTATAACACAGCTGACAAAAATGATTGTTTTTTGATTAACTGCAAAATTCTCGTAACGCGCGACACAATAACAAACGGTTCTATTGGCTGTTTACGAACACGCCACAATCGTCTAGTTTGAATGAAAATATTCTTTCTGTAAAAGTTAGAAAGAAAATTTGCTTCTTTATTCGTCAACGACCAATGGAAACTAAGCAGAAACAAAGCTAAAAGAGTCTTAAAGTTCACCTGAAGTTAAAACACTAACATGTTCGTAAGAAGTCGTGGAGCATGGTTTGGATTTGCTGAAAAGATGTTTACGTTTCAGACGTTTTGCTCGGCGAAATCCAGAAAACATGTTTTTAGCGAAGACGACTGTCATCCTTCTTTAAACTCATATTCATTTACGAACATTAGCTGGTCATTACGGCTTCTTGAGAAGACCTGGCAGCAGTTGTTTTTGTGAGTAATAAATTTGTCTTCTCGTGTAATTTGTGTTGTTATTGCGAGAGAAATTTTCCTGCTTAAGTCGGATTGTCCGGAGATAACAAAGTGCATAACAAATTTAAAAACAACAATAAAAACGGAAATTTTGCCTTTAAATGTTGTTGATGACCAGTTGGTGTCTGTTCTGTTCCCAGTGAATGTCTTTCGGCCAAAGTTTGCTGCAGCTGGTCTTCGGCAAATTTGCGAAACGCGCTACTTGCGAGTTTTTTTAAATTCGGCTTTATTTTTGCTGCTTGTTGGATCCGGACCTAAAAGGTCAATGCCGATAGAAAACTTGGGCAGTTCTTCGCTGGTTTCTTCCATATTTTAAAGAGAAGGAAAAGTGCACTGCAGCTTAAAAGACGACAACTTTGCAGCCGGGTAAAAAAAAATGCTCACGTCATCTTATTTACACACGGGCGTGCGTAAATAAAGATTTTGTTCATAGCGGCTCAATAGGACTTATATAGGGCAAGCACGCGCTTTATGTTATAATTATATATTTCAACAATATATTTCAACATGACATTTGTGTGTTATCATATGTAGATATATTTTTCAAAAATCCTTTGCAAGATTCAAAGGCCAAGAATACCACTGATGTTAGACTATTTGCTGGGGCGATCGTTCGATGGAGAAGTCAGGTAACAGGTTAGCTAACTCCGACAATCGGATGACAGTCACAATGGCCAGTGCTTTTAAAGAACAAAAAAGATAACCTGAAGTCATGGCAACCTCGTTCCCAGGTTCTCTCTCCTACCTGTCGTTCTCTCTCGCTCTGTAAGAGAGAACCCCTGGAACGAGGTTGAGGTCATGAGGATTCATTGAGCGGTGCGGCGAGGGAGGAACCGCAACATTTTTTCATCAGAAACTTTCTTTTGAGTCCACCCTGATAATGTTTCTTATTTTTTGGAAATTTCAAACTGTGCTCCCAAACCCACTACTGATAAATCATTTCTTCCACCCTATGGCCCCTAACCCCACCCAAAAAATGAAAGCAACAACATTTGAGCCTCCCCTCATCTGCCTGATTTGGATTTGAATCCCAGCAAAGACATTCACTCGCTGAGTAGAGCGATATTTCAACGCAAAATTCTTTGGATCATGTTTACTGTAGGTAGTGTAGGAACGGCGTTGAAATTGTTGAGAGCAAAAAAAGTCAAGCCCGAGTTTTGGATGATCATAATCCAATCACTATTATGATTTTGATCAATTTCGGAATTATATGAACTTCCCTTATTGATAATTATGTAAAATACAGAGGAATGTTACAAAACGCATACAAAGAAATGATATATACTCACGTTTTTTTTATTAGCCGAGAGCACGATCAGGTTAAATGGTACAAATGTCTTCGTCTCTATACTGTTTAGCCTGTAGCAAAGGAAAGTGAAAGTAAAAATTGCAAAAAACAAGGCAGTTCGGGAAGGCCAAATCAAAGGCTCCTAAGAGCGAGCTCATGGATGAGTTGAATTTGTGTAGAAAAGACAGTTCAATAATCAAAGAAAAACATATAAATCTTTTTGGACGGTTCATTGTGTACGGACTTGCCACAATACAGCGTGATCATGACTCGAAGTATCCGATTGCTTGTGTACCTGTATATTCTAGAAACTTGTTATCAGCGCATCATTTCTACTTACAAAGCAAAGATCACTTTAAAAGCAATTATTAACGCTTTTTAGTTGTAAAATAACTTGCTTTGTCATGTGACTGTCAAACACTTTCCGAACGACAGTGCACTTTCTTGTCAAATAGCCACGTTTTACATAAGCACGAGTTTTATTTAAACCGTAGTTTTAAACAATTATTTCAATGGACCTCGAAGGTTTCCTAAAAGTACGATTCTTTTAAATAAATGTTTACATATGCTGTTCACAAAGAGTACGTAACGGTTAGTATATGTAGTACGAACTATTAAATACCCTTACCAAACCATATGTATTTTGAAACTGATTTTAAAGTGTTTAATATGTATTTTCAGTATTTGAATACTATTTTCCTGTATTTAATGCTCTTAACCCATAACCCCTTAGATAAAGCAAGTAACTAGACCAGAATTATTATGGGGAAAAAAGGGGTAAGGGATGAAGTACTCCAAATATGGACAGCAGGTCACTTTTTCTACATATTGGTGTAACAGTCCGAAATCTACAAGGGAGAGGTGATAATCCTCTCTAGGGAGTGATAATCCCCAGGATAGTGAGAGGTGATAATCCTCTCTTGGGGGTGATAATCCCCAGGATAGTGAGAAGCTAGGTGATAATCCTCTCTAGGGGTTGATAATCCCCCAAGGTTGTGAGTGGAGGTGATAATCCCCCTTGGGTACTGGAGAGGTGGAAAGACCTCTCTAGATGTCTAATTCCCCGGTTTAAGGAGTAACAAGAGTCTATGGGGCAAAGTGTGACCTGTATGGGAGCACTTCATCCCGAACCCATGTTTATTAATTGCGAACGACTCTCAATACAGATATCATCACTAATTTAAGCTAGGATTGCGTGCCTGCTGCCCGTCAGGAAAAACCCTCACTTATTTTTGAGGGAAACCTGAACCCTCCCGAAAGCAGAGCCAGACACTTAACATGAACCTCGAGGGAGAGAGGTTAGACGAAAATATATTAATAGAAGTTGTAAGTAAATGACAATTAAACTTTTATCAACTTAATAATCAAAATAAGGCCCAAAGTAACTAAGTGCACAAGCATGTTACGATGCCGGGTACGATGATTCCCCTCAGTAGAAAACCCACCTCTTTTCTGCCATATCTTCTTGATAATTGCCAATTGATTCAAAGTGTAAACAACAAAGATCAGTAGTTCGTATGACTGCAAAAAGTATAAGCAGCTTCTTAAATTTTTCAACAAGAGAAAAGACCTCATCTATAAAACCTTAAGAAAACCAGCAGAGAGAATCAAGCAGTAATAAGGGAGGGTGGGATGGGATTTTGTTCCACGAAGAGAAGAATATGAAGTTCTATTTTGCTGAGCTAGGCGCGAAAATATAGGCATCAACTGTACATGTGATAGCTGGCATCTAATTGGCTGAGCGAAACAATTAGTGTGACAGGGGTCACATGCAGGAAGTGACCCCTGAAAGGAAGTGAGCTGATTCCACTACTGGTAAGGGCGGGTTTATGGTTATCACCAGAGGAGGATCGAATAGTATCCCATGATGCATTTTTCCAGAAGCATCACGCAATTACGCAGTCATAGCAGATTCCATCTTGAAATAAGGTCGTTTTCTCGTCGGCTTTTTTCTCACTCGATTTCCAGTAAAAGTAAAAAAATTACATTATTTCGTTATTTGACATGATTTCTCCGATTTGCAATGGCTTAAGAGCGAAGTTTCCACTTAGAAACATTTATTTTCACGGTTTCAATTAGTCTTCCCATCACAAAGTGTTCAGTGACCCACAACCAGGTCATGAATATTTAAGGTTTTTTGGAATATATGTTGAAATCTTACAAATGTGGACCTCACGCCAGCAAAATGAAGTCCTGAATATTGTACAGGCCAAGAAGTACCCAGAAGTACCCACATTTTGAAGACTTTTTTGTCGACCAAAGATGGCTGAAATTTCGAATCTTTTATCGCATTTCAACGCCATGTGTCATAATATATGTGTAAAGCCTGATGAAGGCTACAATCTGTTGGGCGCTTTTGAGAGCGCTTTATGCCGAAGCAATCACTTTGTATTTTCAAAGAGGTTATTTTTAAAGGGAATTTGACTATAATTATTTTAATTCGAAGAAGGAGCGGTGTATAACGGTGTGTTTCAGTGTGAAAAGAACCCAAAGAAAGGAACCACGCAGCATGCAAGCCGGCACAACGTAAACTGAAGCCTGCTCAGAATTTGAAAAAGAAACATCATGCAGAAACTTTATTTATTCAAAAGAACAGATCAGTATTCTGGCCAGGAAATTTCCTTGAAGATTGCTTGAGTCAGTACCGGGTAGACTGTGCTTCAGAGAATTGTTTGTCGCATCGATAGGTTAAATTTTATTTGTAACTGCCATTGTAAACTTCAGCTCCTTTGAGCGCGATGCTGTAATAAATTATCCTTAGGTAATTAGCTTCACAGCGTAGCGGATGTTTTGTTGGAACCACTTTATAGATCAGTCATAGTTTTGGTTCTCCTCTGGCCTGGGTTCTCCTAGTGAACCTAGCGAAGCTTATCAATTGCGAGTCTAATAATTTGTGTTTACAGTGCGACCGAGCGCAGCACAAGTAGTTCTCGGCAGATCAGTGAAATACATGTAAAACCCTTCTCAGTCAAAGCAACGCGGAAATTCTCCTTTAAAGCACAGTGAATATTAGCCAACTCGATAATCTCAAAAGCAGAAGCTGCTGAACCGAAACATGTTTGGAAACCATCCATATCGAGCACTGCGATCGATGTTCACTTCGCGCGTGCTGAAGGTTACTGATCATAATGTGTCACGTACGCAGTGATAATATAACATGAATCGAGGTGCATCATGGGATACTATTCGATCGTCGTCTGGGTTATCACATTAACTCCAATTTATACTGTTGTATAAATTAGCTTTTAATCCTATTTGACAAAAAAATTTAAATTTTCGCCCCTGTTTGGAATATATCTTAAGTGTAGTTAAATTATATTTCATCAAAAGGAAAACCTCTCTCATTAATTTACAATGTATTTTGTTTAATAAATATGATTAAAATAGGGTATTTCAAATGTATTTTGGGCATAGAACCACTAACACTGTTACAAACAGAGTTCAAATAGACTATTTGAAATATGTTTTAAGGGCTTAAATGCGACTGTTTGTTAAATACTTTTAAATAGGGTACATTAACACTGTTTTGAGTTGCATCTACAATGTATTTTGAGGCGCATCCACTCACAAAGTTACAAACATAGTTCAAATAGAGTATTTGAAATATGTTTTTAGAGCCTAAATGCTGACCGTATCTTAAATACTTTTAAATAGGGTACTTTAACACTGTTTTGAGTTGTATCGAAAATGTATTTTTAGACGCATCCACTCACAAAGTTACAAACAGAGTTCAAATAGACTATTTGAAATATGTTTTAAGTCCCTAACTACTGACCGCATTTCAAATACTTTTAAATAGGGTACTTAAACACTGTTTTGAGGTCTATTTGAATTGTATTTTGGGCACACAACACTCTGACTATAAAAACAGCAGAATACAGGCGTTTATGGCTAAATTAAACTGCTTTAGAACGCGCTTTTGATAAACACTAGCTAAAAATTATTTTAATAATACCGATTAAGCTCAAAGCTGTACGTGCTCTGACATAGCTAAGTAATTTAAACGCAGTCGAAGTATCCGATTGCCTTTCTCCACCTAAATGTTCTAGAGACTTATGTATACCAGCGCAGCATTTCTTGTAGATATTACATTAACAGCACTGCTACATGGAATCACCGGCAAACAAAAGCCTACTTTAACGCAAAGATCACCTAAGAATTCAAGCAAAATAGCGTAACGCTTGTTGGTTCTAATTAAAACCTGTGCTTCTAGTTGACAGTCAACATTAATTCATTCCCTGTCTGCATTCGAAGACAAAAGGTCGAATGGATTCGTCAAAATAATAATAAACCACAATAGAATGTCGCTTTAACAATTCGAGGACCGTTTTTTTGGAGTGATTATAAGGCTCTTTGGCTTATTCGCTTTTCGCTTAACGAAATGCCATCGTCAGGCTGCAATACCTCTTTCACACTCCTGTCGATCGCATCTTCTCCATATCAAGTATAATACATGTATCGGGAACAAATGTGCACAATTGGTCCAAATATACAACAATGATCCACGCTCAATTATTTCAATGTCCTTTTACCAATTCTAAGTCCATTTCTTGCAGATGATATTATCAGCGTTCTTTAGAATATTTCCATTTATACAAAACCCATCTCTACTGAACTGATGCGTCGGGAAAAAAAATTCGCTTTACTAGTACCCTCTAGAATATTCCAAACATATGCGTAAAAGGCACTTGGAACAAAAGTAATACTAAGTAAGGGAGGTAAGAGTAAAGAGTTTAATCTGACTTTAATGAAGAAATTAATGAGAATCGAGTGAGTGAGTGAGTGAGTGAGTGAGTGGATCGAGTGCCATTCGAGTGCCTCCAAAAGCCCATGGCATGACTACGTCATCCATGAGCTAAAAAAGAGGATTACCGGAAGTTTTAGGGTTTACTCGATTCTTATGTTTCATGACCTTTCACTAAGAGTGTTGTGTCTTTGGTTTGCTTTTATTCTGACTACATCTGTCAATGGTTTATTCCCAAAATCTCGGAGAAAAAGAAGGTAAAGTGTGTTCGATGAAAAACGGGGCTAAAAAAGAATTAACTACCTTCACGTTGAATCAGCCGAAAAT